ATACTAGTTGCAAGGGCCCGCTTCGCTGGGTTTTTATTTGTATGTAATATAGTTTTTTTTATATATATAAAAGACTGTTTTTCTAAGTAATCTAGAATCTAGCTGCAAGGACCCGCTTCGCTGGGCAAAAAGTAACGATAGTGAAGATTAAGATAATTACATTATAGCTAATCTTACCCGTTTTCACAGAATGCAAGAATTAGGTCCCCCGTTTCCAGACTAATTAGAGAATTTTTATGTTTAGTCAAACGAACTATTTTCAACGTTTCTGGAATGTTTACAATCGTTCTATAATCGAACCAGTTCGAATTTAATTCGAACAAATTCGAAAAAATCGAACAAAACATTTGAAATAGAAAGCCACTTTCAACCACTTTCAGCCTCATATCTCCCGCACCCTTATATCTATCGAGACGCAACCACCCCTATGCACGAATGGAGACTTGGGGTTACCACCACATACAAACACCATTCACATGCGATGTGTAGTTTTGGCGAAAAAGTGAAATATAGGAACATACATGTCCATTTTTATATATACAGTGGGTGATCGGTTAACAAACATAATCCGTTCCAAGACTTTGTTCGCTATCTGAATTGTTCGTTAACCGATTATCGATTTACCATAGGTTTTAATGGAAATTTAATTAATTCGTTCTGGAGACCTCCCAAAATGAAAAATATATACTTTCTTACTACGTTTATTTATATGTAATAATAAAAATACATACATACATAGTCTTGCATTTTTAATAGTCATGATTTTTCCGTTTGAAAGGGTTAAATAATCTGTCTAATGTCGATTGCTTTTCTCTCTTCTTCAGGATTTTTCGTAAGTAATTAAATTAATATCTCAGATGTGATCTTTGTTACTCCTTTAGCTGCTTGAGTTTTCTTGATTATACTGTATTTTTCTTAAATACAATAAGATTGAATTTTGGCCTACTGTACACCTGTTCGCGCCATACTGCCTAGCAACATTAGGCATCTTCTGCCCACTATCTTTGTTATTATACTCTCACCTTTCAAAAAGAAAAACAGACACAAAACTTAACGAGTGCCTACCCGACAGTCTCGTGAATACATAAAAGAATTGTTTTGTCAGAAAAATAAAAGGCTGGAATTACAAGGGAGAGTTTCAAAACTCGGAGGAATACTATCCGATCGGTATAAACCGGCTTAAGCGTAGATGTCGACGCCTCCCTCACTCCGAAATGTTTCGAATTGTTACCTGAAGACAAGAGAAAATCAATCGGTATTCATTATTTTACATCGCTTCTTCTTGTGTTTATTCTGTGAGGTGTTCGTTAACCGATCTGTTCGTTAACCGATTACCCACTGTATATATATAGATATATTTTTTTTAAATTGTCTTACTGAAATGCAGTTTTTTATTATCTAATTCTTAGATATATTTATGATGCTGTTCTATTTACACAAGTGAAAAATGTGAAATCAAGTTTTTTTAATGATAATTTTCAAATTGTAACTAAATACATTATTTTAAAAACATTTTTATTTTATGAAGTGTATACAATTGCACATAAAATGTGGTCATAATTGCAATGCTGATCTAAAGATTTGTCTAATAGATTAGATCTGATACATCTAAAGATGAAAAATTACTGGTATATGAAAAAATTAACATTTTTAAGAGTTTTTATTTGTGTTAGTTTTCATTCTAATTTTAATGAGAGAATAGAACAAATGATGATGATTAAATATAATAAAATAATAAGAGTTAATTTAAGTTTGTAATTTTTTGTTCTAAGTATTATGTCAAAATACAAAAATAAATTTTACAGGTATGATATTGAGCATTTTTGAATTTTATCATATAAAATTAGCTAGTCATTGCATACTTTTACATAAATTTTATATTTTTCATTATGTATTTTAAATTTTGCTTTGTTTTAAAATTTATTTTTATTCTTACATTGGAATAATGTTAATGATTTTAAAATAGTCATGTCATTGAGAGAAGAAATTGGAAAATAAGATTTTTATAAATGAAGTATGATGAAAACAAAGATGTTGCAATATGTTTGTGCGTAAATATGTAATATATTAGTCATTCCTAAATTAATCATTCTCAGCAGTTCATTTCAATGTCTCATTTAAATTAGTCATTCTCATTATAGTTTAATTTATCATGGAAATGAAAGTTTAGATTTTTGTAGATAAATGAAGCTTATTTCTACTTTGATAAATCAAATTATTCAATTATAGATATATCATTATTAAAGAATTGCTTTATATTGAATATTCATTATATTTGCTGAAAATGATGCTTTAGTATAATTTCATGACAAATTTCATTATTTGTTCTTTTTCCAAAATTTTTTTAAAAATCAGATTGACTAGTCTTCTGTTACAGAACAACATTTGAATATAAATTTTTAACATTAAAGAACAAAAAATAAAAAATTCAAATAACTAATATAAAAAAACATAAGATACAAAGTTAAAAACAGAATGCATAAGGTTTAAATATAAAGGAATGTGAGAATAAAAAATTTAAGATATAAAAGTAACAAAGAATATAAACAGATATATGTAAAAAATAAAAATGATAAATGTGAAATAATTAGCTAATAAAACAGAACTAGTTAAAGTTCGAAAGTGATTGCCATGTGTGGATTTCTTATTAGCCTTATAAATCTCCAGTTTTTCTAGATAGCTAAAAGTGTTGATATTAGAGGTAGGCCTAATGACTTATTCCCAATTCACTGGGCATAATCTGCACCAAAGAATCAAAGAATATAAATAAATAAAATACTTTCCTACTGGACTACACCATATAAATAAAATCAAAACCTTTAAAAAGACCGTAGATTTAATTCTAATTTAGTATACATAGGAGCAACCATGAGAAACTTAAAGAAAAGAATTGCTGAACATAAGCACTCAGTAAATAAAAACGTAGACTCTACGGTGTTTGCTGCCTTTGCCAAGCAACAGAATATCGAGGTCTTTTGGGATCGGGCGTCTATCATTAAAGCTACAAGATCCAGGCAGGCCATAAAACATCTGGAAAAACTAGAAATTCACAAGGCGCAGTTGCACACAAACTGTATTAATCATAGGGATGCTGACGGATTGTCATCGGCATGGAAATCCTTTTATGATGAGTTGACGTAGTTTACGTAAGCGGGAAGAATAATTAAGATGATTTTTACTGAATGTATATATTTTATTTTATTTCTTTATTTCGATTTAATTAACTTGTATCATTTTTGCAATTATTTAAATTTGGTAAATGTTAACGTACATTTATGTAACCGCTTTTTGAATTTTGTTTTACGTAATTTCGAATTCTTCATTCGATTCAAAATGATAACTGAGGATGATCGCTTAAAGCATTCAAAAGCGTTTTTAAGATATTAAAAAAACGATTTGCTGGATTATTTAAAGGTTTTTATTTTATTTATATCAAAGAATATACACAATTGACAAGAACTTATCTAACAGTATTAGCAGCTTATGCTCACCATCACAATACACAAGTGAAACAAGTGAAAATGATTAAGCCTACCTTTAACATCAACACTCTTAGTTACTTAGAAAAATTGGAGATTTATAAGGCTAATAAGAAATCCACATGCATCAATTATCGGTATACTGACATGCTTTCCAGCACATGGCAGTCACTTTATGAACTTTAAGTAGTTTTGTTTTATTAAATAATTATTTCTCATTTATCATTTTTATACATACTATGTATAAAAATTATATTCTTTATTACTTTTATATCTTAAATTTTTTATTTTCACATTCCTTTATATTTAAACTTTATGTATTCTATTTTTTAAATTTTTTTTTATCTTTCGTTTTTTAATGTTGCAATGTTATATTTAAATATTCTGTAACTGAAGACGACCAGTCAATCTGATAGAAAGTTTTTATTATAATAAACTTCTTGCTAGAATTTCAAAGGTTGAATTTTACATCTCAGCATTGTACTCCAGTTGTATACTACATTTTTAGATTTGTTCTTTCCTACTGATTAAATTCCTTGTTATATATTTAAATCTTTCTGAATAAATCTATTTCAATTTTCAAATTATATAAATGTCTTACTATTGTAGTAGTCATGTAGGATTTTTCTCCTCTATGTACAGCCACAAATCTAAGTTCCTTGTGACTGATTTTAATTTGTCTTTTGGCAAAATCAAAATATTACACTATTTGCAATTAATTTAAACAGAAACAATAGGATGAATAAAGAAAGTTTATTGTTAATTCTTTTGTGAATCATTTCTGTAGGAAGGAACATCAATCCATACAAATGCTTGCCTTGTCAAACCATCATTTATTGCCTTTCATCAATTGCTGTAGATACATTTCAGGATTATTCTTCTCTTCCTCAGTATGGCATATTTTCTCTATTTTTGTTGACAAGATATTTCTGCAATAAACTTTCATATGTCAAACTGTCTATGGATCACTTCTTCTGCACTTAGGTTATTTTTAATATCAGATGTAAGTGCAGAAAAAGTGGCCCATAGATAGGCCAAAGTTTTAGGAAAGTTTATTGCAGAGACATTTTATTGACAAAATAGAAAAAATATGCCAACTGAAGAGAGAAAGAATGATCCTAAAATGAATCTATGGCAATTGATGAAATTAAGATGATATGACAATGCAAGCATTGGTATGGATTGATGTTCTTCCTACAGAAATAATTAACAACATAATATGATGAGGTTCCAAAGTATGATTAATTCTTTTGTAAGTTCTTGTTGTTGTTATCGAAACCGTGTTGTTATTTATGTTTGTATACTGGCACAATGAAATGACCAAATGTTGTAAGTTCTTATTATTATTTATTTCTTTTTATAGTCAGTTTTGAAATTATCTGTTAATAATTTGTTTTTAATAGGTATATTCATATTTATTATTATATCTCATTTCAAATGGTTGTTTTAGTAACTTATGTAATTAAAATTCAAATTAATTATGATTCAAAATGATTATGAAATTATCAATTTTATTTTTAGTGGTTCATCAAAAGTTGAAGAAGCATGTGAAATGTATGCACGTGCTGCAAATATGTTCAAGATGGCAAAAAAGTGGAGTGGTAAAATTTAATTTATAAATTATTTGTTATTTATATTATTTCAAATACTATAAAACAATTCAAATTCTTAGCTGCTGGCAGTGCTTTTTGTGAAGCTGCATCACTTCGTATCAAGACAGGCAGTCGCCATGAAGCTGCATCATGCTATGTTGATGCTGGAAATTGTTACAAAAAGTCTGACCCACATGGTAATAAAAATATTAAACTTTAATTCTTAATATAAAATTTTTATTACATACCAAAAAATTATACTTAAATAGTTTATATATATAATTTATATTCTCATTTTTAAGAGATCATTCAGTGCACCAAAAATCATCTGTTATTCCAAAAATCCATTATATTGCGAACAATGGATTTCTCATACACCCAGGAAAATATCCATTATTCAAAAAAATTTGTTTTCTAACCCTCAACATATTAGAAATACCAGTACTTGAAATTATTTAGTCTCTTGAGATCTCTATTTTTTATTCTATAGAAATGCCTATGCTACAAGATTGTACATTGTTCTGTACATATGTATAACAAAGCTGACAGAAACTGTATATACTGTAAACACAAGAGGAAAATTATGTATGCTCTCATCCATCTTGGTTTGTTTTGATGCTGCTTTTCTGCCTATTGAATACAACTAATTGATATTAGCAGTATCAGGTACAGCCTGTTCATTTATGCTGAAGCTCATCAGGAAGGTCTTCATGACTTGGAAAGACTCGATGTCCTTGCTAAATTTTGGCACTACTCTTGGACCAGTATCAAAATGTTCACCAGGTGGCTCCTCCTCAATCATATATTAGCCTGTTAACTCTCTTTGTACAGTTCTTTAATTGTACATATCCAAGATAAAACAAGTGCATCATTGAATTCTATAAATTTCCAGAAACACCCAAATATTATTTACTTCACAACTGTATAGGTAGACACTTGGTACCTTTAACATCACTCTTTATTCAGGTATATGTTACACACCAATACAGATTTTGGGCATATGCTCCTCTTCTGTCTGTTTTTTCTTTAAGACATTTAGTAAAGAGAGGATAACTAATACCCTTTTTTTTTTTTAAATACATATATTTACAGTTAAAATTTGGGAAAATTTTAACTGTAAATATATGTATTTTCTTTAATGCTCCAAAGCCTTCTATAATACAATACAGAATTTGATAACAAATAAGAAAATTTGTTAAATTGCTGAAGTTCTTCTGTTTATAAAAATTTATTATACTCTAAAAACACTAGCTCGTAAAATATTTTCTTTTTTCATAAAATGCAAATAGAATAATACTTTATAAATTGTATGATATTGTCAATTATCATTCAATTTCTAATCTTTGTTACTTCCATAATATCTACTTTGTATATGGGGAAATTGCAGCTTCATTTTCTTTTGTTAATCAGTGAATTGTTTATAAATTGCTTCTCGTGTATTAGATAATTTTGAAAATAAAAGATTAATCTGGAGTAGAGCTCAAATATGAAGCTCTACTTATGCAAATGTATTTACATACCTGCATGACAGTTACACAACCAGACTTTGTCCAATCTTCACTTTAAGATGGTGACTTAATCACCTACCTGTAACATTGTAGAAAAAAAAAAGACAAAGCTGACAGAAACTGTAAAATTTTTACAGAAATACTTTTCTAGCATGCAGAGAATGCTAAAAACACATGTATATTTAATCTTTTATTGTAAGCTATGATTTATGTTAAAATATGTAAAAAAAGAAAAAATACCAATATTCTCTGTCAGCAATGATAATTTAAAATTTATTTAAATTGTTCAGATTAGCTTCTGAATCAAACTTCTGACAGACTGTTTAATCAGAAGTTTGGTTCAGTTTCAAAGAATTTGTGGCTGAAGCCAATTTGAGAAGAATTGAAAATGTTACCAAAAGTAACTTAATAAACTTTGGTCTTCTTAATAAGCAATTTTGAAGTATATATGTTAATATGGTGTCAAGTTTTAAAGAACTAAATACTTATATGTAAATGAATTAACATTTTTACATTTATTAAAGTAAATGCGATTACCAGAAATTTAGTACTAAACTATATCTTTTCTTGAGTACAACTTTAGTAAATTTTTATGAGCTCATAACTTGTAATTCATTGATTTTAAAAAAGGTTTAAATAAAAATGGCATTTTGTTTTATTAAATTTAGTTACAGAATATTTGTATCAAGATTCCAATTTGTAGCCTCTTAAATGTTTAAATTTTACTTGATTATTAAATTTTATATTATTTCATATCCTTACGTGATAGAATCTAACCTGAAGACTTATTAAATTAATTAAAAACATTTGTTTCATTGAACATCTGGATAAAGATATTGCTTTTATTAAATAAAACTAGTTGAAGTATGTATGTTACAAAGTGTCAAGTTTTAAAAAGTAAATTCTTGCATAATATAACTTCAAAATAACACAGTATGTATTCTATTTGATAGTGAATGTATTATAAACACACAATTATTTATTGTGACATCATCACAATGCCATGCTACAATGTTCACCTCAAATTAGTACTGGCTTGCCCCATACATCATACTTTTCCTTTAATAATAGAATTGTGCCAGTCATCTATCTAACACCTTTCAAAAGAAAATTTTTGAATTGAAATAACATGACTTCCAATTTGCTTTGGAAGTTCATGTACAGTTAATCATGGCTTCCTCCCCTAAGGTTTCCATATGTGGTCTTGTCTTTCATCTCTCTAACTCCATTCTCAAGATTAAGTAAAGACAGATGGATGGACAACAGTGAGAATATAAAGTCTACAATTTTTTCAAATTGCAAGCTCAATAATAAAAAGCATTTGACTTTAAAATTATTTTTATAACTTAAAACAGATTTTAACCTTAATTCCATTTTTATGATCTACTTAATTGAATATAGAAAATATGAAATTGTTTTTGTTTTTATATACAGAACAGTATCTTGGTTTTTTAAAAATGTAAGATAATTTGTTCTAAGACACTTAGCTTAGAAAATTCCAAAAGAATTAAAATGAATATATTTCTATATTTCTTTATTAAATGTTTTATTTTTTTCTTTCTCAAAATATTTTTCAGTAATATACAGGGTGGTCATAAATTATTGAGTACATTTCATGGTTGAAAAAAGAACAACATAATAATGTAGCAACTGCTGTTTTGTTTCAAACAAAAGAGTACTTTGCTGATAGTGGCATGACAGCAGTGGCATAGCGTAGTGGGGGCTTGGGCGGCACTTTTAGGGGGCGGCAAAATTTCACAATAAATAATAATAATATCTTGTAAAAACTTGAACCATTTCATTTCATATTTTTGTCGTACCTATGATTTGGACCAATTGAAACGAGCACGGAATTCTGTGACGAAACTGAATTTTAGTCTTTTAAATTGAGCTACCTAAATGGGGGGGGCGGATGACACCCATACTACGCCACTGCATGACAGTAGTGCATAATGGAATATGGCTACAATGCAGGAAAAAGTGATATGCTTTCTGTGATTTTGTGAAAGCAAATTGGTTATAACTGTTTAAAGATGTTTTCACTTGGAGTATCCCATTCCCCAAGTAAGGACTCCATTAAGCATTGGTATCAGCAATTTAAAGATACAGAAAGTGTAGAACAGAAAAGATGCTGGTAGACCATCAGTCTCTAAAGTTGTTGTTGATTGAGTGAGGGAGGCTTTCACTAGAAACCCGAGTAAATTGACTCATTGCACAAGTTTGGAATTTGGAATACTGCAATCGTTAGCTTGTGATTTATGCAATAACTGGACCTTGTATGCATGAAGTTTCAGGAACATGAAAGTTGTCCATAAGTTCCTGAAACTTCATGCATACAAGGTCCAGTTATTGCATAAATCACAAGCTAACGATTGCAGTATTCCAAATTCCAAACTTGTGCAATGAGTCAATTTACTCGGGTTTCTAGTGAAAGCCTCCCTCACTCAATCAACAACAACTTTAGAGACTGATGGTCTACCAGCATCTTTTCTGTTCTACACTTTCTGTATCTTTAAATTGCTGATACCAATGCTTAATGGAGTCCTTACTTGGGGAATGGGATACTCCAAGTGAAAACATCTTTAAACAGTTATAACCAATTTGCTTTCACAAAATCACAGAAAGCATATCACTTTTTCCTGCATTGTAGCCATATTCCATTATGCACTACTGTCATGCAGTGGCGTAGTATGGGTGTCATCCGCCCCCCCCATTTAGGTAGCTCAATTTAAAAGACTAAAATTCAGTTTCGTCACAGAATTCCGTGCTCGTTTCAATCGGTCCAAATCATAGGTACGACAAAAATATGAAATGAAATGGTTCAAGTTTTTACAAGATATTATTATTATTTATTGTGAAATTTTGCCGCCCCCTAAAAGTGCCGCCCAAGCCCCCACTACGCTATGCCACTGCTGTCATGCCACTATCAGCAAAGTACTCTTTTGTTTGAAACAAAACAGCAGTTGCTACATTATTATGTTGTTCTTTTTTCAACCATGAAATGTACTCAATAATTTATGACCACCCTGTATATTACTGAAAAATATTTTGAGAAAGAAAAAAATAAAACATTTAATAAAGAAATATAGAAATATATTCATTTTAATTCTTTTGGAATTTTCTAAGCTAAGTGTCTTAGAACAAATTATCTTACATTTTTAAAAAACCAAGATACTGTTCTGTATATAAAAACAAAAACAATTTCATATTTTCTATATTCAATTAAGTAGATCATAAAAATGGAATTAAGGTTAAAATCTGTTTTAAGTTATAAAAATAATTTTAAAGTCAAATGCTTTTTATTATTGAGCTTGCAATTTGAAAAAATTGTAGACTTTATATTCTCACTGTTGTCCATCCATCTGTCTTTACTTAATCTTGAGAATGGAGTTAGAGAGATGAAAGACAAGACCACATATGGAAACCTTAGGGGAGGAAGCCATGATTAACTGTACATGAACTTCCAAAGCAAATTGGAAGTCATGTTATTTCAATTCAAAAATTTTCTTTTGAAAGGTGTTAGATAGATGACTGGCACAATTCTATTATTAAAGGAAAAGTATGATGTATGGGGCAAGCCAGTACTAATTTGAGGTGAACATTGTAGCATGGCATTGTGATGATGTCACAATAAATAATTGTGTGTTTATAATACATTCACTATCAAATAGAATACATACTGTGTTATT